TGGCCAAAATTTTATCCAAATAAATCTGGTGTAATCATCTTCTGTTATAAAGCCATAAGATTTTTCTCTAAGCTAATGGTTCTAATTGTTCCAAAAAGATCCATGTGGAATACTTCCAAGGGTCTAGAGGAAACTATATCCTTAGTTGCATGAAAAGATGACTTGACTTGCTTACCTAATTGACAAGCATCACATTAGTACTCCTTCATGATATTAAAATTTTTTACACCTCTAATTAGGTTTATGGGAGTAATTTTTCTAAGTGTTCTCATACTTTAGCATAACCAAGTTTCATCAACAATTATTTTTCAATAATGCCCTTCACTAGCTTATTAATGATATCTAAATCAATTATATAAACATTGGTCATTTGAATACGTCTTAAAATAATCTCATTATTTAGTAAAATTAAGCACTTGTTAGAATAAAATTTAACATCTAATTCTTTATCATATAATTGACTAATACTAAATAGATTATATTTCAAACCTCTAACCAATAACACGTTTTTAATAGCTAAATCCATAAATTTTACCAATTTTCTTGTACCAATTACTTTTCTTGTAGTGTTTTCTCCAATGATCACTCTTCCTTAACTCATGGACTCTAGTGTGATAAATTTCTTTATATCTTCCATCTTATGCCATGAACATCCACTGTCTAGGTACCATAGGCCTTCCTTGGATGCCTTTCTAAGGCACATTTGTAAAAAAAAAAAAAAAAACTACATTATACTTTTGGGGACCTAATGAGTTTCGGTCCCACAAGGCCAGATGAATACATGATATCTTATGTAGATGTGGCCTTAAAACTCCAAGCATAGTGAGTGCTACATCAGACTCTACGTGGGCATACTCGTGTTATGCTTCCTATTATGCCATAAAAAAAGCCCTCTACTCCTCAAAATCAATGAGCTAGTATAAATGAAGGACTCTTCCTCCTAAGAGATATGGTGCATACAGTTTTCTAATAGGTTGCTTGAGGGCATGTGAAGATCCAAGTGCAAATGGTTTACCCTCTATGACCTCCTTCCTAGTACTCATTTGCACTTGACACTATTCCTAACTTAACATACACAGAAAGCTTACTTTCTTATAAATTTTGAAGATGTTCTTCTAATATTTTATGTGCAATCTTTTGTCCACAGTGTTGGATGTTTTGATCTTTTAATTCATTTTTAAAAATGTCATTTCCATTAGTCAAATTTGTATGTTTATCAACTAATGTAATGTGCTCATTTTTAAAAAAGGTGAATTTGTTAATCAAATTAGAATGCCCATCTAAAAATGTATTATGCTCCTTTTAAAAACATGAAATTTTTTTCAACTTTCTGTAGTTATCATGCAATTACTGAAAAAATCAAAGTAACTCTTTATAAGTTAAATCTCATGCCTAATGCTTCTCTGTATCATCTGTATTTTTTTTTTCCATTAAAAACAATTTGGTTATTTCTTCCTTAGCTTCTATCTTGAATGATTCAGAGTTCGAGTTTAGCCAAAAGGACCTTTCAAGCTTTATTTTATTTATTTTTCTTAGATTCACTTTTCTCCATAGCCTTTTTCTTTGGTGGTTGACTTTCAAATTGGGGAAGTTAGACTTTATATGACCTAGATTTTTACATTCAAAACAAATAAGGTCAGTAGTAATTTTATTTAGCTTCTTACCTTTTCTCCAGTTGTAAGCTTACATCCTTTCCTTTTTCTCAAAAATAATAATAATAATAATTGTATGTTCATGAAGGCTATATCATCATCTCTACCTCCATTGAAGTTATTACTTTATGAATTCTTATCCTTCAAGGCTACCATCTTTTCCTTTTGCTTATCCCTTGCATCTGCAATCCTTTGACTAATTTTCTATTCATTTACTATTAGTGATCCAAGCAAATTGTCAATGGAATAATCAATCAAATCCTTATATTTTATTATCACCATAACCTTGGCATCCTAAGACCCGAGAAACCATCTAAGAATCTTATTTATCTTTTTGATATTGCTAATCGTCTTACCTAAAGCATACAAAGAAGTAATTATTTTTGTAAAGTGAGTGTACATATGAAATAAAGATTCACTAGCTCACATACGAAAGAGTTCATAGTCATGAAGTAAAATATTTAAAATATTCCTTGACTTTATTTGTACCTTCATATGTAATACATAGCCTATCTCATATTTTTTCCAATTGAATATGTACATACATCAGGTAATCTTCAAACTTAAGAGCATAGAAAATATAGTTCAAATATTTTTCATTCAATAGTTCAAATTCTCTTTCCTCAAAGTTCCAATCAATAAAAGGGAGTTCAATCTTAATATCATTTTCTATCCTATATGGGGGTTAGTTCCCTACTTACACTAAGTTCCACATACGATAATCAACAAACAGAATAAAAATAAACATACAAATTTTAAAAAAGTTGAATGGGATATTGTCAAAAATGGTGTATAATAAATGGAATACCCTTTCGATGTGTTTTAACTCCCAAACTGTGTCATACCAAAATATATTTAACATGTTGAAACCAAACAACTAAGAACCCCACCCTAATACCAATAAAAATTGACTATTCACAACCAAAAAGAAGGGTGACTCAGGTGATTTTAAAAATTCTTTTGAAAATTACAACAATAATTATAGCAAAAGTAAACAAATTGATTAATTGAAATTTTTTAATTTTAAATTTTAATTTAAAAATAAGTTTGAGAACAAGAGAGTTTAACAAAATATTTTTAATAAAAATTAGAATTAGCACTAATTTTTCTTTTTAAAATAAGATTCACTTGAAACAAAGAGCAATTTTAAGCAAAAAGTCAAAATATACAAGAAATAAAATAAAACAAAAAGGAAAAAATAAATTAAATTTTATGGCGATTCAAAACTAAAAAGACTTAGTTAGAAAATATTAAAAATTATCTTTCTTTATTAGATTTAAATAAGAATTTGACTTTTAATAGGACACAATGGTGAAAAAGAATTCATTTAGCCGACCCCACATAGTGGGACAAAGGCTGGATGTTGATGTTGTTGCACTGATTCAGACAACATGACCTATGTCCACTCCCTAAAAATTCAACTAACTACTCCTTATGCTCCTAGTAAGGATAAGAAGCCTTTCTCCTTCACAAGGACATAGAGAACATCCTTTTACACACTTCTATCCCTAGAAGTCTCCCACCTTCTATACTAAGTATGGCAAAGATACCACACCTCTAGCCTCCGAGCTAAATAGAGAGTATTCCACACAAGATTCTCAAAGCTCTTTCACCCAATCCTCATACTACATAACCTGAGGAATAACGACATACAATGAGACCAACAACTTTGGTGAACCACTCCCATGCTGATCTCTTGGAACCTATCAAAATATCTCATTTTCTCTCAAAATTCACACTGCCTTTCTCTCAAGTTATAGAAAGAGACTCCGAAGAATTCTCTGTCTTTCTCTCTCAACCTTCTTAGACATCCCAAATCTCTCGAACATTGATGGACGAATACACTAGAAAGCTAGAGACCCACTTTCCATCTTCAAGAGGAATATTTATATTAAGCTTTTAGTCAAATCCTAAAATTCGTGATTTAGTTAATTTCACATGTTGATCATATAGTATGATGAATGGATCGTAGATCAAGATCCGTACAATGATGTAAACTCAAAGAACTAGATCATTCTTATGAAGAGGTTTGTTCGAACAAGCTCTTTGTTTGTTTGGGCTGTGTGATTAGGATCGTGCAATACGATCTTCCCAAGTTTGGTGACTCAAAGCACTAAATCATCTTGTCAAACTGGCTCTTTATTATTTACACTATATGATTATGGTCATATAGTATAAGATATATCTACTCTAATTTGACCCTTTGATTTCAGGTTCCAAAATAGGTAAATACCAATGCAAGGATTTAAGTTTCATATTATAAAAATCTTCATCTAATATGACCAAGTCACATTTCCCATTTACCTATTTTTAGAAATATCCTAATTTTAATGATTTGAATTTGAAATGGCTTATCATCTCATATGATGTTGATCATACTTTACAATTAGTTATATAAATTTTTATTTTAAATTTTGTTAATTAATGTCACTTGATTTTTAAATTTATTTTAAAAATTCATTAATATCGTATAATATGATTTAATCAGAAATTCATGTATTATAATTAACTTTTTTTAGCCATCATTTGCGTGTATGATTGTTCAACCCAATATATGCTTAAAGCACAAAAAGACTCAAGAAATAAAAATAAAAAGAAATGCAAGTTAACATGTTTTTTAGTTCTTGGCCTTGTTGACTCCGATCAACTTTCTTCATGTTCAATTCTACTAGCTTCAGTTGGTCCTCATCTTGATGCTGTCATATGTTTGCTTCCTGCAATGTTAGTATAAAAGCATATTGCTTGCACATATAACTCAATTTGTGATTAGTATAACCAATAATGTTTCTAATCGCCAAAAATCAAAATATATACCAGGCTCACGGGATTGAAAAAAAATTATATTTTTGCAGCCAATCTTGATGGAGCTTTCATTAGTTTTTAATGGCTCCCAAATGTTAATAGCTTGAAGTTATGGACTTAAAAATGGAGTTTTTAATGGCTCTCAATCTATATGCATATCTAAATGATCCTTCTCTAAGATCTTGAGTCATAGTAACCTAAGAGAGAAGAGATTCTAAATCTTTGATATTTAACATTTCATGCTGTAAGTCATAGTATGCCAAAGATAGATGTTTGGTTCCTATCTAATTGTGAGGAAGGTCTTTAACATTTTTAAGATATGTAATGAGAAATTGCTTGAACTCTAAAAAACTGTCTATCAAAAGATAGTTTTGAGAACCATCTTAATGGTGGTTTCTTAAAAGTTTTCATGATTAATCATCATTTAACAACAACAATTATAGCGAGCAAGGAAAATGTTTGATATTTGCAATTTAAGCTTCCACGGAGGTTTGATATTTGCAAAGCTAAATAGAAATTTTGCTATTATTAGAAACTATCGAGATGTCAAAATATAACTTGGTTACCTGACCCATCCATTGATACTAATTAAAAAATTATGTCAATGTACGATTTTATAAAAAAGACTATATACAAATGAAATTACATTATAAAATTTAGAACAAAGACATCTGAAAATAATTTATAAAACGCTGCAACTCCTTATCTAGCAACAAACAACCAATAAAGACGTTTAAAGGAGAAACCAAACAAAATATACACTATCATAACCTTCAATCTTCTCATTTAAATCTCGGTCACTATCACGATCCCTCCCTCATCATTGTTGTTCTCAAACTGAATGCACTTATACCACATGGCGCATAGTATGTAAAGCACTAAATCCACAGCGGTCAAAGCTGCAAGGAGGAAGAAGAACCGGTCTAGGCGACCGGAATTGAGGTTACTCGGAATCCATCCAGGTCTCTCTCCGCTTGCGGTCGCAGCCATTACAACACTAACAAGCATGATGCTCACGTAGTTGCCGAGTGAGATGGAAGCCATGTTGAGGGAGCTCCCAAAGCTCTTGATGCCATCAGGTGCTTGCCCATTGAAAAAATTTAGCTGCCCAACATACATAAACACCTCTGAAGCTCCAATGAGGGCATACTGTGGAATTTGCCAAGTGATTGGGAGTGAGCTCTCCTTATCTGGAGAAGCAACTTTCTTTAGCCTAGCTAGTTCAACAACACCAGCAGCAATCATTGCCAGCATAGCGATCAAAAGGCCAACACCCATCCGCTGGAGTTCGGATAACCCATCAGGATTCTTCGTAAACTTCGCTAGCACTGGCATAAGAATCCGACGATAGATAAAGATGAAAAATATAACACTAATAATGTCAAAGACCGACATGCTGGCAGGAGGGATGGTGAAGGAACCAAACTGTGTACTCATCATGGCGCCTTGCTCGACAAAGAGGGAGGCCATCTGGGTGAAGACAACTGAGTAAATTATGGTGCACAGCCAGATGGGAAGCATCTTTAGCACACATTTAACCTCCTCAACCTGAGTCACGCTGCACAGCTTCCATGGACTCTTGGCCTCAGGCCGCACAGAGTGTACATCAGTTGTCATTGTTGCAGCTTTGTCCAAGAACCTGAAGAACATAGGCAAGTGAGCACAATAATATGCAAAAAAGAACCAGTAATTTCATCATCGAAGTTACACTCTAGTTATCTAAAGACTATAGAAAAACATGGTATAAAGCATATATCTTGAGAAGTTAAACATCAGATAAAAATTTAGACAATCAAAACTATGAAAATTCTCTTAGTCCTCGCTAATCAAATTATATAATAAGGATGGGAGTGGGGAACAAACCGAAACCCATTGCTGTGGGAGATCTTTCTACTCCCTGCAATGGCAGATTCCTTTCCTTCCACTTCATAAAGCAAGGCGTCATTCTCAGGAACACTAACATTCCACTTTCTAGCCGCAGCAACAAAGACTTGTGCAATGCGAGTCAAGGGGTTGCCTGATGCCTTGAAATGCCTGTATCTTGGAGTTCCAAGTAAGAAAAGAAGAAAAGCAATAACAGCGGCACCAGTTGATGTCCAAAATCCAATAACCCACTGTCCAGAGTCCTCATAGTACACTAAGATTGTGTTGGAGAAGAGAGAACCTGCATTAAGAGCAACATAAAAGTAACTGAAAAAGGCTGCCTTTGAATCACTTTCTGAAGGGTTCATCTCATCAAACTGGTCTGATCCAAATGTAGCTATTGTGGGCTGATATCCCCCATTGCCAAATGCAATTAGATATATTGATATATAAAAGATAGCAGTACCAAGAGCTGAAACTGGTTCGCATTCCAGTTTCCCATCACCACATCCAGAAGGATTCACCAATAAAATCCAAGACGACAAAGATAAAAGGGCTAGTCCCTGCTCAGATTAGTGCCAAAAAAGATTAGATTAATTAGCTATTCATAAATTAATCACGATTGTTATGTTTTGTTTGACAAGCAACATGGGTAAACAGAGATTGTTATAACAATGTATGGGAATATGACAATTTCACAATAAAGAACTTTTTTATTTTGAGAACATTGCACAAATGTTATCAACTAAATGATTCAATACAAGATCAGGCCTAGGTGATATTACCAAGCTCAGAAAATGATGGGACAAAAGGCTCCCAAAACAAATTTGAGCTCCAAGAAGACGACCGAGGCTTTGTTTGGCAATATGATGATTCTGAGTTTTTCAAACACCTGCCATACAACAATTTCGGTTTGTGGAAAAACAGTAGCAAACAACACAATTTTCTAACATGATATTTATGTAACTTGATGTAACAACAATCACACAGAACCAACAATGCTGAACTATCCAATATTGTTTTACGAAGTGAAGTAATATTCTTGAAGCTATCCACATATTCGTAACTATAAAGATAGTTTTTAAATTCAATCTTGTTCCATCACTTTTTTCTCCTAAAGAAACATAGGCCGCCCCTAGATTGAAAAGTTTCACTAATAACCATCATCTTCAACATAGTTATTGGCCTCAAAATAAAAAATTACATTTGGACTCATGAATCCTTATTTTCTATTCAATCTTCTTGAGTGCACAACATGAGATGATAACACATTTTTCCGCAGGTCTTATTGTAGAACTTCTAACCACTGATTATTCTATGACTGCAAACTAAAGAAGAAATAAGAAATAGAATTGCCACAAAGCCACTTACTAGACCTACAATTTTCTCACTAAATAAAAAGCACTGAGAAGTTCTAGTGAGAGAAGCTCCTGGTTTCTAGTGAGAGAAAATTTCAAATTTTTGTATTTCGACGCTTGACGGAATTTTCAATCATGACGGCAGACTGTCCGGCAACTGGCGGCCAGAATTCTGCCATTGTTTCTCAACCTGCCGCTCTTATTCTTCCTGATTCGAAGGTATCATCTAAAGTAATTGATTCGCATAAGATCGTCAATGATCCGTTGGTTATCAAGGAACCATCTGGTATTCTAGTTTTTTTTTTATCTGGTATTCTAGTTAATACATCTATTCATGGTCCGTTGAGTGCTGGAGGTCGAGGACTTCACTCGGCTGTTTCAATAGTTGGACCCTTCAGAGAAAAATTTGTTTGGAATTTGCTTAATAAACCAGATTCTATTCTTAATAAGTATTTAATTGCAAGATATGGATTTGATATTTGACAAACTAATTCCAAAAGGAATTGCTCTATCACATGAAAAATTCTAAATATTGGAGCTAAATCTCTTCGTCATTTGGTTAGGTGGAATATTGCTTCAGGTAATTCTATCAATACCTTAAGTGATATATGGGTCTTTGATAAACTGTTTGATAAATGGCCGACTTTCATTGTTGTGTTGGATGAAGATTTTCCAACTCTTGACAAATGTATTGTGAATGGTAGTTGGAATATTGCTGAGCTTCTTAAATATTTTGTAAAGTCATTGATTGATACTATTATGCAATTTCAAATCTATCCAGAAATTTTAAATGACCGACTGAAGCTAGTCATAAAGTTTTCTGGTAAATCAATTGCAACAATGGCATTGGATATTGCTGTAGAAGAGTTACCAAAGGTTAATTATTGGAGGTGGATGAAGAAGTTGAATATGCCACCTCGTTTGGAATTATTTTGGTGGTGATTGTGGAATAATGCAATCCCTACATCAGATTTCTTAAAATTCAGAAGGCTTATAGATTATAATTATTGTCCAAGAGGGTGTAATGCAACAGAGAATTCTGAACATGTGGCGGTTAACTGTTCTAAACTCATTTAAGCTATTGCATTGGTTAATAAAAGGGGCTTTCCAGTTCCTGTGTTTTCTTCGATTCTAGATTGAAATAAATTGAAGATGTTATTTATGGGTAATCCTTTCATTGCAAATCTTTACTATTCTTTGGTCTTTTTCTCTTGGAAAAGTAGGAACAATGTTATTCATGGTGGTAAGGAAATTGGTTTGGCCTTCATTGCCTCAAATGCAATTAGTTTTGCATCTATTTCTTTGAAGTTTAATCTTTATTCGGACCACTGGAGTGTTAACCAGCTTTCTCAGCTATTTTCACATTCTTGGCACCCTCCTCCACCCGAATGGATTAGAGTCAATATTAATGCTACTGTATTGCGTTCAAATAAGGCTGATGTGGGCAGATTTTTTAGAGATCATAAAGGGAGACTCCTCCTTTCTTTTGGATTTAAATGCATTCATTGGGACAGTGGTTACTTGGAACTCTTTGCTTTCCGTTCTTTGAAGATAGTAATATAAAAGTGGATGTTTGAAGCAAGAGGCATCATTATTGAAAGGGATAATATCAATATCATCAAGTATCTGGAAGATTCAGTTGGCAAGGTGGCTCGGAATGTACATATTGGCGAGGTGGAAGATTTGTCTTTTCTTAAGGATTTTGTTAATCTTTTATTTCATATTTCAAATAGAAGTTGTAATAAGTTAGCCGATTATTGTGCTAACTTTGCTTTAGATGGTGATTTTTTTTGGGATGAGTTAAGTTGTAATAAGGTTCCTCCTTTTCTTTCTTTGTTAAAGGAGGATTGTAATAGACTTTCTACCACTTAGTAGGTTGTAATAGACTTGTTTTTTCTTTAGTGCAAACTGCAGTTAATCAAAAAATAAAAAGCACTTATACATACCATGATGAAGATTAACTGAAATATAGCGCAGGTTAAGTAACGGCCCCAGTAGGAATCACTCAAGAATGCTCCGACGAGTGAAAATATGTACACTGTGCCAGTCCATTTGCTGACATTATTTGCTGCGTCTGCATTCTCTTGTTGCATGACTCTTGTTAGGAAGAGAACCAGATTAACCCCAAGTCCAAAAAATGCAAATGTGACAAGACCATAGTTCACTGCATTGACCAAAACAATAATAGTGATCATTAGACAATTAACGATGGCTAACTACAAATAATGGAGATGGATCCAAACCAACGACCAGTGAACATGTTCTGGATATTCTCTTTTTTCCATTTTATGAGAACAATTTTGGAACACACAAGAAAAAGACCATCACAGAAGAAATTAAAGTTCGAAGTTCACTCAAGCAGGTTTAGATGCATTCATTGGCTGTTAATATAGTCAACCTAGCAAAAGAATTGCAGATTTCCATCTTCCAGTTTTTGATTTGAGTGCAGGTTTCCCCATCCTGTCCAACGTGCCATCCTCAGTGATGGGAGAGATTTCCCTTTCATCCACACCAGCCGTGTTTTCAACCACATCTTCCTTCTTCTGCATGACAAAACAGAAGATGTAAAACTTATAATACAAAGATCTTACAGTTTATCAATGCAAGCCTTTAAGAGATCATTCAGCAGTATGTTTTTTTTGACAAATAGAAACCATCTTTAAAAATAACTATTTGACTTGGAAATTAGCACAGTCAGGCTGTTTTATCAAGTATTGACAACAGGTCCTCACTTCACATTGCACCAAGTAAAACCACCAATTCCAAAAATTCAACTGGCCTCACCTTTAGAGGAACGCCATTGATTTCTAGAGCTTCCATTACCTGTGAAATCAAATAAAAGAAAAAAAAAAGGTAAATGCCAAGTTAGCTTGAAGAAAACATTAAGGAAACCAAGGAGAGAAAAATAAAGTAAAATTGAAGCTATACATGAAGGCAGACAAATTTATGCTTGAAATCTCTCAAGAATCTGACGAGAACAAAGAATTATAAGATAAGAAGGAATGCATAATTAAACTAAAGATATAACTAGTAGCCCTTACGCCACAAAGAAAGCGCAAACCAATGAATTAGCTTGCCATGTTAATGGAGCTCAGAGGACCGGACATGAAAACAAAACAAAACACATAAAGGGGACTTTTCAATGAAGGGAGATTTCCAATTTGATGTTCAATGATTTCCTATAAATCTGTTACGAATACATATACCACTACCAACTTCAGAAAAAGACTGAAAAACATAAATTAAAGTAAAATAAGAAGAAATGTGTCTAATAATTATGTTTAAACTATAAAGCAAAACAATATTTAAGGTAATGAAAATAGAGCTATGAAGAGTAGAGGTCTGCATCAATTCCCTTTGCATTCAGAAGAATTTAACTCGAGTTTAGGAATCTTCACATCACTATCATCAACTGTGTTAAGAATAAAAATTAGTAACATTAAATATTGGGGAGATATTTAGGTTGGCAAGTAGAAGAAATAAATAAGCATTATCATTAATCCTCTTAATATGTGGAACATACCAATTTTGTGTGGTTTTACTTTACATTATGAGCTGGCTGGAAAACATTTTTTAGTCAAGTATACAATTACTGCAGTGCTAACATTAAAGATTTTCTTTCACGATGAAAATTAGAGTGTGATTTGTACAGTTGAGTTTCTTCAACATATTTTCATGTAACATCTTGTGGCATCATATCAAAATTTGTAACCATATCAGTAACAGGTTTACTCTTTGGCTTGGATAAAATTGAAATGTCAATGGTGTGACTAAGAATTTGAGTGTGATGCTAACAGGGCATTTTCCATTTGATGTATTAGCCGTTCAATTATAGACAAACACAAATTGTTCCAAAATTTCATCCCATAGTTTTGGATGACCTTAGATGAGGGAACGAAGCATAAATGGGGGTGTGTATGAGCCATTATTCTGAGTAGAGTCTTAAGAAGTTTGTCAAATGTTACATTTCTCAGCAAAGCGAGTCACATCCCATCTTAATATTGGCCAAAAGAAACAAGCATGCAGTAATGCGAAGGTTTCTCTCGCCAAGCATGCGCGTTTAGTTACACATTATGAATATTATAGATTAATTGGCAGCGCAACAAAGTGTTAGGATTACACCATTGATTTCCTTGGAAAAGAAAACCTCACTGAATAGAATAATAACAACGGAGAAAAAAACTAAAATGGTCCCTCAACTCTTTGTGAGGGACTAAAATAATCCTCAATTCTTTTAAGGGAATAATTTGGTCCTCAACTCTTTAAAATGTAATGTTTTTTTAAAAATTAATAATAATTTAAAATTTTATTAAATATAATTTTAAAACTAAAATTATTATTAATTTTCTATTATTAAAGAAACATTTAATAAAATTTTTTAGAAAAATTATAATTAATTGAAAATTATATTTAATAAATGTTTAATTAAAAATGACCAAAATAACCTTATATTTAACACAATTAATTCAAACATTGAATGTTAGGACCAAATCCCTCAAAATAATTGGGAACTATTTTGTTCCCTCACAAATAATTGAGGAACCATTTTGATCATTTTCTTAATAATAATATATCAAAATGTCAATGACGCAGTTACTCTAGGCAGTGACGACATCCATATCAATAGAGGTTGAGGTTGGGATTCATCCAATCCTTTGATTTCAGTTTGGAAGATGACGAGAAGGCTAGCTCACCAAAATAAAAAAGGCAATGTAAATGGTCAAGCATAGACTTGCTAAAAATTAAAATTTTGTCAAAATAAACAATATAAAAATGGGAGAGGAGAGGTTTAAGCATCTCATTCATCGTTCGCATGAATGTGTTAGGGACGTTACACAAGCCAAATGGCATAACACACCATTCATATAGACCTTCTGAGTTCTAAACGCCATCATTCCCTCATCCCCATCTCGTATGGGAATTGGTGATAGCTATTGTGCATATCAAGTTAAGAGAAAAAAGTAGTACTTATGAGTTTATCCAAAAGTTCTTTGAAGAGTGGCATTGAAAATGGTACTTTATGGTTATCTTATTGATAGCTTGATTGTCAATGGACATGTGCCACTTTTCGTCCTTCTTTGGGGCAATCAACGTGGGTAATGTAAGGAATGATACTATTATGAATAAGTTACTACCACAATATTTCATCACCAATATCTTTTTAAATTTTGTGCTTTTCTACACTCATCTAGTAGTGAGGAAGATTCAAAATTGTAAAGCCAATAATTAAATTAATTTTATGATGGATAGTGTTGAGCAAAGGTAATGTCTATAGCAACTCAAAAAAGATAATATCTCCAAATTGTTGTAACTCCTCTTTAACTAAAACAAAGATATATATTTGAATTGAATTATACTCAGCTAGGAGGATAGCAAGCAAAAATGAGTTCTTATACATAGCCAGTTTTGTGAGCACAAGATGCTAGAGAAGATTGTGCGATATGACAATAAGTTTAGGAAGGATTCTAATCTTTTAACCTTCCATTAAAAAACACAAGCATTAGCTAGGTAATCTTACCATTTTCCCATATCAAATTGCTACAACATTTCCAAAATTATGTGTCAAACATTCATCTCCAGAACATCGCATAGGCCATTAAATTTTTACCAAATTAAAATGTTACGTTGCACAAATCAGTTACAAGAACTTTTATGCCTTTGTATCCAACTAATATCGTAGGGTTGAAGATGCTTACTGGTATTCAATTGTAAGTTTTTTACTACTTTCCCAGAGATGATATTTTTGGCACAACCATTGTCCACCAAAAGCTCACAAACATCGTCGTTGATTGTGTATCTAGTATGAAATATTGCATGCCTTTGTGATGTAAGTGGGTGCTTCAAAGAGAGTAGGATTTTAGAGGATATAAGATAGAAATTCTCCATCATTATCGAGAACATCCTCAAATTTGTCGTTCATGACTAAAAAATTAATGAGAGGATAGTCAGTTGCATCAATCAACCAACAATTGCAGCTGACGATTATTGGCACATTCGTTAGAATATTGTCAGAATTGCAAGCACCTAAGTTACTTTAAAAAGTTCAAAGTGTGCATAAGCATTGTCCATTTTAGCTCGATAATTCTCCAACCCGTTCGTTTTGATTGGATACATTGTGGTTGCTTGCTATTGGAACCAAAGGGCTCTCTTTAGTTATGGCCTTATGGATTTGTATTTTTTATAAATTCAATGGACTTTTCATTCACTAGATGGCAAAAACTTGATTTCCAAGTGTGACGATTGAATTGTAATTTAGCTTTGTATGCATAGTTGTCCACTTGGGAGTGGGAGGAGACAAAATATAATTCATTTGAATATTTTCCTAAATAGCTTCTCTAGCCCTCAGATCTATGGGCAACCAAATGTTGCATGATTTCAAGGAGGTTATTCCTCACACTCAATTGATAGAATTCTTTCATATGCCTTTAATGCATCATTGAGACTGTAAATAGAACATTTGCAAATAATCGAAAGGAAGGAAATGTTAGCAAAGAAGTGTTTTATTCCGACCTAATTTTTAGCACCATCTTTTCATTCTCGTCATTAGGTTTTTATGAGTTACAACCAATAGGGGGCTTGCATACCATTTCAGTTTACAAAGGATGTATTTCACTTGCCTTTTAAATGGAATGTCCATATAGGCATATACTCAAAGAATGCTTACACCGCTTTCCCCCAATCATGATGGTACTCAACGTGGAGATGGCTATCAAAAAAGAGAATGTCGATTTTAACATTGAGGTAGTCTTGATTCTGATTCTGAAATGGTTAATATATATAGCGGAATATCGGTGAGATAAAATGGATCTCCATCTAAGTTTGAATCAGTAAAACGCTCCAATGACGAGGATATAAATCATCATCAGATTCAGGAAGTCATATTACTATCTAGAACTCGAACCTACAGGGCATGCCATATATTGTGATTTGTCATGATGGTCTCACCTAGATCTTAATCATGGTTGCATGATTTGCCAGTGTGATTGCCAGAAAACTTCCTCAGTTCTTCTTAAAGACAGCTCGCATCACATCTTCTTGATGAATTGCTGGAAATTGTTGCTAAGCCTTTCCAATTTACGTTCTAGTGCGATTAGAGATTTCAATAAAGAGCCCCAAGTTAGTCATGGTTTCAGGTGTTCACCGTCAACCATAACTATAACACTTGATGTAGCTCAAAGAATCGAACGAGAAGAGAAAATGAAACAAAGAAAGAGGATTTTCAATAAAGGAAAACTTCCACTATGATTTTCAATGATTCTCTTGCTAGTTGTTTAGGGATGCATAGACCTATACTGCCTTAAATACTAGCAAACAAATTAATAATTAAAGTAAAGAGGAAATGTATCTAATAATAGTGTTGAAAATATAAAGAAAAAAATAATATTCAAGATAATGAAAAATAGAGCTATGGAGAGTAATAGTAAGTTATGTCACAAGCCTTTCAAGAAGCATGCTCTTTGGAAAGCCTACCAAGTAGGCAAATTATCATGCATGTCCTAGTTCTCATAATTAATATGGTCACCAAGTATATAGCTAGAAGAAGTTCAATAAATAAACTGGTAGATAGAATTATAGTGTCTTATACTCTAAACAACATTCAATTCTCTTGTATGCCCACATATTCTTCGAATCAGTTACTGCAATTCTTTTAAAAAAGGTAAAATATAGAATTAGAAGAGCTTCCATACTTTAACCAAATTTAAAGATGTAGTAACTCATCACGATTGCTTCCGGTAACCAAATTTAAATATATGGTAACTTATCAATTTACTTACGGTCTTTTCGCTTCAGAGCTATAGTAGTTGAAAATAAGTTCCAACCAAATGACAATCACCATTGAGATGAAGAGCAATTAAGGTGTTCCCTTTTCAAGAATAAAAGAGACGCAAAATAGAATATAAGAGGATGGTATCTCAAATACTCTCTAATTAAGTAGATGTATACAGCTGTGACTACAACTCATATTGCGCAATTTTAAACCATGCTACAACATAAAAGATATATTTTTGAACTCAACAATTGCTTACATCGTACTAGACATGTTTAATTTTTGAACTGATCGTACTGTACAAACTCAAACTGTACCGTACAAATCATGACGGCTACTTGAATTTTTAGAGTTTCTTGAAGCCCAATACTTAAGCAAAGCTTAGAGACTCTCTTTGTAATGGTGAGAGGATTGTGTGACTGCTGAAGGAACTCTGAGAGAGGAGCTTTTGAAAGAAAATTAGGATTTGAGAAGAAAGAAAATGTGAGGTTGAGCATGAGGGAGAAGTGTGAGGGGATCGTACGGTTTCTACGGGCTAGCTACACCCATGCTCCTCATGTGGCCTTGGTGAGTCTTTGCAAGCTCTCTTGGGAGAAAGGCTTTTAAGTCAAGTCCTAGAGGTACTCTTCCTTCTCCAGGAGCCAGAAAAAGGAGCTGAGGTACTCTGCTTTCCCTAGGAGCGAAAAAATTTAGCTGATGTTGTTTGCCTTCTCTAAGAGGGATAAAAACGAGTCAAGCTCCGCTGCCATCACCAGGAGGATGACATAGCATCCGGGACTCTGCCACGTCAGGTTTGGTGAAAGTGAGCATGTAAGGGCTTCTTCGCCTTACTGTGGAAGCAAAAGAAGAGTCACTTAGTACAATACTCGGAGAGGACTTCGGGGAGTGACCGTAGGTCAAGGTTGATTGAACCACTATAAAAATTTCTGGTGTGTTTTTTTCATTTTCGCAGTTTTATTTTTCCTTCATTTTATCTCTATTATAACTGCTTGAAAAAATCGTCGGAGATTATCGCTTCGTTTCGTAAATCAAAATATCATCATAGTTAAATCAATATTTTTGATAAATTCATTCGCTTCCGCAATCAATTAGAATTTGGTATCTTTAATTCTGAAAACTTTTTCAAAAATATTATCATCTTTATTTTGAAGTTGAAATATTTTTTAAAATTATCAATTCAGCCCCCCCTTCTAGGTGAGCCTCGGGTTAGTTCCTTAAGGGTTAACAATCTTCACAAATTTTTAGTACCAAAATAACAGATTGAAAAGAACTGGATGATGTATATAAGATCTTAGGCAAGCCAATGTTAAACTGTCCCAAATGCCACGTAAGAATTCATAATATTTTATCTTAACAAAATATGGAAAGATGTTCAACGTAAAAAGGATTGCCCTCCCTAGTTCTACAATACAAATCAAATTCTGTGACGGAGATTCACATCTATAGCAAAACAAATGGTTATCAATAAAGCCTGTTTAAACGCAAACAACTTTCCATTTTCCATACTTAATTTCGACAAAAGGAAGATAATTTAACAAACGATGTCAATGCCGACCTCTTAAGTAGTACGTTGCCGACGGATTCCGGTGAAGGTGAAGAAAGCGAAGTGATGAAGGATATGAAATCAGTCCCAGAATCTAGAACGAGATCCAAAGTCCCTTGCAATTTGAAGAACTCCTGTAAACCTATTGTCATTTATGTCGCCGACTGCTCTATGCGTTCCACAACAACACAAAATGCCCCCTTCTCCAATTCGCCCGAGACGAGAAGAATTAACTCCAAATCAAGAAAAGAGAAACAAGAAGCTAAATTTAAAAGACGATCGATGAGCGGTTTAAAAGTATTGGGCGGGCAAGGACAGCTTAGCTGCGATTTATAGCGCCGCAATCGTGAGGAAGACCGCTTCTCCCGCGTGCCTGCGTTTCTGGTTGGGAACCGAACACGTGTAGCTCGTTGTTGGCATGCAATGCCCGTGTACATCGAAACCCCTCCTGACCATTGTGCCTTGACACGAGTCACGTTGACGCCGCTCAAGAGCTCAGGGGACCAAGCAAAATAAAAACGAAATACAGAATCCTCCCATGCAACCTCAAAATATTATGTATTATTTTATTGAATTAAATTCACCGATTAATTGATAAGCAACTCGTCGAAGCTACAAAATAAATATGAGAATTACATTAAACTAATTGTTTTATAAAAAAATTATTAAAATTGAAGGAATTAATTTAGTATGTTTAGGTAATATAAATTTTTTTCAAAAGCAATGAATTGACTTGTTATTCATATTTGAAAAGTGATAATTTGTTATTTTATGTGAGCTTGCAAATTGAGAAAAGTGATCATTTGGTACTTTTATCAGTTTATGTGAGCTTACAAATTAAATTTAATCAAGGGTAAATGGAGAGTGGTTGGATGAACGGCCGATATTGAATCCATTGATCGTGTACCATTCATTAGACATTTGAAGGTCTTAATGATATCAGAATTCGGTGATCTTGGGCTCGTTGGATTCGTCTTGTCGAGCCGTTCGATTCGACTATAAGCATGTTATGTTTGGAAATCGTTTGGTAATCCAAATTATGGATTGAACCTTCTGAATGTGCTTCGAGCATTTGATTTGGACCCATTTGGGCTCGGATTGAGTTGAATTTGGTGTTGTTGGGTTCGTATTTTCGAGACGATCAGTTCGACTATAATTTTGCTTAATCAGAGTTCAGATGATCCCAAATTTAATTTTTGAAGTTTACGACTTGATTTTTACATCGAGATTCGTGACCGATCAAGATAATTTTTCGATGATATATCAATATAATATTTATAAAAGTTATATAACATAAAAAATATATGATATTTTTATCAAATTAAAAAAACTAACATGTGAATTTTTATTATATTTAAATAGTATGAAATTACATATATTAAGAAATTTAAAAATAATAAAAACATTAGGTTTAAAATATAAGAAATGTTTACTCAACTTTGCATAGTTTTTTTTTAGGGCCCCGCCC